CCCCCCTCTCCCCCCAACTCCCACAATACATCCAACACACATGTACAGCCGCACACGTATCCCAAAACATTTTAATTCAAGGAATACGTCGTCCCCCGTTCCATCCAGACGCTCTCCGAATCAGACACTTGGAAGTGGACGAGGAGGAGAGTCGCACTTGCGATTGGCTCACGCCGTGCCTTACTCTTTTACCGTGATCAAATCTTGATAGATAGATATATATTTTTAGAGAGATGAAAAGACTCGAGAAAGTCCTCTGTGAGGATTTGATTGTTAATATTTCTGTAGGTAACGTGTGTATGTTTCGGGTTGTTTTTTTTTTTGTCTTCATACGCTGGCAGTTTGTAACCCACGAGGTTGCTTATGAAGGTTATTTCTCTGATAAAAAATGATAAGGCTTCTGTTTTAAATCCGTCGAACAACATCTGCTTGTCGGTTGAGTTATTTGCTGTTTTTTTTTTAACTTCTTCACGTGCCATTCCAATTTACACTCAATGATGGGAGAATCATTGGAAAAAGCAACGAGAGACTTTGAGGGGGTGACCTCAGCCGTTCCAAACCACCCGTGCCTTAAATCCACTTCATTTTCTTCCCGCTTTTGTATATGTGCGCCTGTGTGTGTGTGTGTGTGCGTGCCAACAGCTGAGATTACGCTTACCGTCCAGCAGCGTGTGTTTGACCGCTACAGGAAGTCCCCTTTGACCTCTGGGTTGTCCCCCTGCTGTCTCCTTCCGCGCTGATATAACCCAATCCCTCGGCCTCCCCCAGTTTAAAAAAAAAAATATATATATATATATATTTATTTATTTCCTTTAATTTTATTGCGAGTGAATTATTTTGCATTGTAGTCTTATTATTATTATTGTCTTTTTTTTTTCTTTTTTTTTTACAATGTACACAGCATATCTCATCATTCTCATTTGGATTTGAAACCCAGGAGGTACTAATACAAAATGGTACGTGCTGTAATCGTCTTGATCTTTATTTATCTTAACCTAAATCTTTATTTTAAGTATGTATTTGCCTTTCTTTGCGAGTTAGGGGTGGGGGCTAACCTACAAAATGTTTTTTTTTTGTAAATCGTCTTGAATAAGTTGAACTAGGGCTGAAAGAACTGGAAAAATATATCATTTTTTTAAAAGGGTTTTTACAGTATGTATGTTTTGCTTTTTTAATTTTTTTTTTTTTACCTGTAAGCTCCCAACCCGCCTCTCAGTATCAAACCCCCCCCACCCCGTCCCCCTTTCAACACTTCTGTTCTTTTGCAAAGTATTTGTACTGTCTTTCAAGAATCTTTTGTATCTGTATTTGCAATAAAAATGAAAATGCAATTCAACCCCAAGCCGTTTTTATTATTTGTTGGCTGCCGCGTCACCGACGCCGTTTTCATACGCCGCAGTCTAGGGAAGAGTTAACGGACAAGTGCCAAGTAATCGGCCTGTGTTTGTTTTCCCAGAAGCC